AGAATCCACAGACTGGGAGAAAATTTTTGCTACAACATATCCAATAAAGGTCTAATCTCTAAAATCTACAAGAAACTGCAAAACCTCAACAACAAAAAGACAAATAGCTCAATGAAAAAATGGGCAAAGAATATGAACAGACACTTCACCAAAGAAGACATTCGGGCAGCTAACAGACACATGAGGAGATGCTCATGACCATTAGCCGTTAGAGAAATACAAATCAAAACTACAATGAGATACCATGTCACTCCAACAAGGCTGGCATTAATTCAAAAAACACAAAATAACAAACGTTGGAGAGGCTGTGGAGAGATTGGAACTCTCATGCACTACTGGTGGGAATGTAAAATGGTTACAACCACTTTGGAAAACAATATGGTGCTTCCTTAAAAAGCTAGAAATAGAAATACCATATGATCTAGCAATCCCACTCCTAGGAATATACTGGAGAGAAATAAGAGCCGTCACACAAATAGACATATGCACACCCATGTTCATTGCAGTAATTCACAATAGCAAAAAGATGGAAACAACCTAAATGTCCATCAACAGACGAATGGATAAACAGATAATGGTACATACACACAGTGGAATACTATGCAATGATAAAGAACAATGATGAATCTGCAAAACATCTCACAACATGGATGAATCTGGAGGGTATTATGCTGAGTGTAATAAATCAGTCACAAAAGAACAAATATTGTATGAGACCACCGTTATAAGAACTCAAGAAAAGGTTTAAACACAGAAAAGAGCATTCTTTCATGGTTACAAGGGTGGGGAGTGGGGGAAGAGAAATCACTAACTAGATAGTAGACAAGGATCCACTTCCGTGAAGGGAAGGACAACATGATACAGGGGAAGTCAGCACAACTGGACCAAAGGAAAGGCAAAGAAGTTTCCTGAACACATCCAAACACTTTGAGGGACAGAGTAGCTGGGGCTAGAGCCTAGCGACCATAGTTTTGGGGGACATATAGGTCAATTGGCATAACATAGTTTATAAAGAAAATGTTCTGCATCCCACTTTGGTGAGTGGTGTCTGGGGTCTTAAAAGCTTGTGAATGGCCATCTAAGATACATCAATTGGTTCCATCCCTCTGGGAGCAAAGAAGAATGAAGAAAACCAAAGACACAAGGAAAATACTAGCCCAAAGGACTAAAGGACCAAATAAACCAGAGGCTCCACCAGCCTGAGACCGGAACTTGATGGTGCCCCACTACCAGTGACCATTCCTGACAGGGAACATAACAGAGTCCCAGACAAAGCAGGAGAAAATTGTAGAACGGAACTCAAATTCACATTAAAAGACCAGGCTTAATGGTCTGACAGAGACTGGAGGAACCCCCGAAACTATGGTCCCTGGACACACTGTTAACCCAGAACTGAAACCATTCCTGAAGCCCACTCTTCAGACGAAGATTAGACGGGACTATAAAACAAAAAATAATACATATGAAGAATGTGCTGCTTAGTTCAGTCCGATATTGATTGCTAATAATTTATGAGAATTTGTACACCTCATTTCATGGATAAAATAGGCCTGGAATTTTCTATTTATACCAGAAGAGAAACTAGATAGCTAGACCAAATGAGCAGCTCCTGTCCAAAAGCAGGGTGAGAAAGCAGGAAGGGACAGGAACTGGTGGAATGGACACAGGGAATCCAGGGTGGAAAGCGGAGTGTGCTCTCACATTATGGGGATTGTAACTAATGTCACAAAACAATATGTATATAAATTTTTGAATGAGAAATTAGCTTGAGCTGTAAACTTTCACCTAAAGCACAATAAAAAAAAAAAAAAACAAAACAACACTTTGTACTAAAAAAAAAAAAAAAAAAAACCATATTGATGTGATGTTTTGTTTGTGCTAAGATTTAATTTCCTGCTTTCTATTTCTTTCCAAGTCAGTTTTGATGAATTTTATTTTTCTAGGAATTTGTCCATTTTCTCTAAATGTTCAGATATGTTGGCATAAAGTTGTTGATAGTACTCATACCTCTTCTACATCTATAATTATGTCCCTGTTTTTATTCCTAATATTATTTCTTTGAGGCTTCTCACTTTTTCTTGATTAATCTTGCCAAAAGTTTATTATCTTTTAGTCTTTTCAGAGAATGACTTTTACCTTTAGTCCTCCTGTCTGTTGAATCTTTGTTTTCTACTTCATTGATTTGAACTCTTTATTATCTTCTTTATTTTGTGTGTGTGTGTGTGTATGTGTGTGTTTTCTGACATCTTTTGTTCTCTGATGTGTTAGGTTGGACTCTTGGGTCTTTGATTGTCAGTTTTTTCATGTTCTCTAATTTAAGCTGTTTTCTGCATCCCACCAGTTTTAATGTATTTAATCTATTTATTACCATTCACTTATAAATAATTTTTAATTTCAAATAATTAGAATTAATTCCCTCATTGACTCATGAGTTTTACTCAGTAGTGTTTTAATCAGAGAAAATGATCTATATCAGGGATGGCAATTTTTTTTCTGTAAAGGACCAGTTAGAAAATATTAAGACTTTGCAGGCTGTACATTCTCTATTGCAACTACTGAATTCTACTGTTAAATACATTCCATGTGTTCTGGAGTAGAATGTGTGTTCTCTGTGGAAGCCTCATTCTGGATATGTCCATTAGGTCAAGTCTGTTAAATGCTGTGTTTGCATCACCTGAACCTGCAGATCTTTGTCTGCCTGACTCATCAATAATTATGTATTAGATCTCTCCACCTGTGAGGGTGGTTTTGTTCCTCTCTGACTCTTTCTCCCTAATGTTGCTTTTTGTCTTAAAGCCCATTGTCTGATAATAGTGAAACTATACTCGCTTTCTTTCATTTAGTATTCGCTAATATATCTTTTTTTCTTTTACTTTCAGCCTTTCTTGTCCATGTGTATGTGTTTATGCTAACATCATGTGACTATTTTTGTTTTATCCGATCTGACAAACTTGTTTTCATCACCAAGTTTAGTCCATTTACATGTTTGTTTGCTTTTTATTTTTTTTTTTAAGACCACCATAAACTTGAGCAAGGGAGTTAATCATATTACTTTCCATACCTTTTTTAGTATCTTCTGGAGTTGTCTCTTACTTGGAGCATAAGGAGCCCTGGTGGCACAACTGTTATAAGCTCGGCTGCTATTCAAATCTCCCAGCAGCGGGGTGGGAGAAAGACCTGACGATCTGCTCCCGTAAAGATTACAGCCTAGGAAGACCTATGGGGCACTTCTGTCTTGTTATACAGGGTTGCTATGAGTTGGAATTGACTCAATGGCACACAACACCACTTTGAGCATATCTTTCAAAAGCATTTTCAGGGTGTGTCTTTCCTTTGGCAAACCTGAAGTTTTATAAGCCTAAGAATACTTTCATTATACCTTCATCTATGAATAACTGTGTGGCAGGATGAAGTCTAGATTATTATTATTTTTCAATACATTAAAAACATTATTGTAAATCTTGGTGCCTCTTCTTTTATAGGTGATATAGTTTTTAGAAACTTTCAGACATTTTTCTGTCTTTAATATCCTCAAATTATGTATATTTTATACTAATGTGTTTAGATGTGAGTTTTTCCATACCGCACTTGATCGGCACTCTGTGGAACCTTTCAATCTAAAGCCATTCACTTTTCTTTAATTATATGACATTTATCTATATTATTTATTCAGTGATTTCCTTCTCTCCTGTGGGAACCTATTATGTAGATACTGGGCACATCCGCCACCCTCCCTTTTCCTTTCCTCCTCCTTTGTGCTGCCTCCCTGCTCCAGCGTGGGCTGCTTCTCTCTCTCATCCTCCTGTCTAGTTTGGTCTTCAGCAGCGTCCATTCTCCTGCTTATCCCATCATCTGTGCCTCTTCAGCTACTGTATTTCTGAAACCTAATATCTGCATTTGGTTCTATTCTGTGATTTCTAGTCTTATTACAAGTAGATCCATCACACTTACTTTAAATTCTTGGGCCTTTTCATCCAGTGCCTCTGCTTTAGAAGGTAAATGTTGTCCTGTTGGTTATTTTCCTTTGAGGCAGTTGTACTTCTCAGGGGTCTGCTCTTTTGGCCTGCGCAGTGGAGCCCAGTCTGCCCGGCAGTACATGTGGCAGAAGGACCAAGGCAGACCTGGTGCCAGTGCATCCCAGGCATGGACAAGAGCCAAGGGCAGAGAGCCCCAGGACTGTAAAACTAAAGCCAGTCCCTGCCCCCAGGTGCCTCCTCACTTCTGGGCGTGACGTCAAACCCCTAGAGAACAGCAGCATGAGGGAGTAGCCCCTCCTAAGATTACTTTCCTTCCATCCCTCAACAAATATTTCACTTTCTTCCTGCCTTGGAAAGCCAAGCTGCTGCGGCTGCTGACCAGTGCAGGGAGAAGGTCAGCAGCAACTGAGCCTCGCTGACGGAGGAGATGAAGGAGAAGAACTTTCCCCAGTTTATCATTGCACTGTGCTGATCCCCTTCACCTTGCCATGGCACCCCACACACATGCACTGCACCAATCCAGCCCTTGCATCCATCCCCTGCATGTACCAGCGCAGCCCCTCATGTCCGTACTGCACACACATCAGCCCGCACATCCATCTTCCAAGCATACCAGCCCTCACATCCATCTCCCGAGTATACTAGCCCTCACATCCATCCCCCACACGCACCAGCCCTCGTGTCTATTGCTCACGTCCGTTACACATGTGCACCAGCTCTCAAGTCTTTTGCCTGTGTGTACCAGCCCTTCCGTCCATCGTCCATGTGTACCAGCCCTCAAGCCCTTCCCTGACGCAAACCAGCCCTCATGTCCACCACCCACACACATCAGCCCTCACGTCCATCCCACATGTGTACCAACCCAGCTTCAGCCCTCCCAGGGTTTCTCAGGGTACAGAGGAATTGTTTCCATCTGTGGTTTCTCCAGAGATTGGCCATGGGTCAGATGGGCAGACACAGGTCCTCCACAATTTACATCTCCTCACTATCACTGGCACTCAGCTGTCACTCCTGTTTCCACAGGGTCTGCGGAAGAGGGAGCTGCTGAAGGAGCTACTGCCAGTCATCGGGCAGAACCTCCGCTTCCAGCGACTCTTCACCGAGTGTCAGGAACAGCTCGATATCCTGAGGGACAAGTAGCCTGCCCCGGCTTGCCCCAGTTGCAGCAAAGGCAGTGCCACGCTGTGGCCACTGACCACACCCAGGGCCGCCTCGTACCTGGCCAGGCTACAGTAGGAGGAGGAGACACTGGCAGGAAGTGTGGCGTCCTGCAGCTGTGCTGGCCCAGCATCCTGGGGGCACCTCCCCTGTGTCCTGGGCCACATGTTCCTTCACAAGGGCACAGCTCTACCTGCAACTCGGTCCTCCTTCCAGGACCCCCGTGCAGAGCTGGGGCTAGGACTCTGCCCTGCTGCCTTGTGGCCAGTGTGGCGCTCCCAAGCCTGCCGACTCCAGCACGGCCCCGAGGTGTACACTAGCCCCTGCCACTGTAGGCGCCGTGCTGCTTCAGCTATGATGAATGAGCCATTTGTGAAAGAGAGAATCCTGAAACATTAATGTATTATGCAGTCAGTAGACTGACCTGAGACCTATGTAAAAGGAAAGGCTGTTCCAACACACGGACTATTTTTGTACTAGAATTTGCTAACTTGTAATATGGAATTTTCCTTTTGGTCAATAATCAGGATTTCCCTATAAGTCACTTGGACATTGGTCTCTTGTAGGAAATTTAAACTCTAATTATGACAGCTACATTGAAAAATAATTGTACTGAAATTAACTTGTCTATATCTTCATTTGGTTTTAATTTTTAATGTTTGTAAAAAGAGACTGTTTTTTGGGGATGGGGCAGAGGGGTGGGCGATTTCTTTTGTAAGTGTAAAATAAATGAACATGCATTGGATACCAAACCATTTTGGCTTCCCCTGCCTTTTCCTTCTAATTTCGCACCTCCCTTCCTCCACCATAGATCCTTCTCTACTGAAGTGGGCAGTAATGGAACATCAGAGATAGAAGGGATCTTTGATGCCATCTAATCCCCATGGCCCCTCCATGCAGAAATTTATTTTACACTGTGGATGTCACTGCCCTGGTGGTGCAGAACCTCAGGCTGAGCCGGGGCTGGCAGGCAGGCCCCCTCCTATGTGTCATTGAGCATGCCTCATGTCCCTGATCATGCAGCCTGCTCGGCCCACACCAGCACCTCTTGAGTGGTTTCCCAGACTGGGCTACTTGGCCAATCTCCTAGAAGGAAATCAGTAAGTATACACTTAGGTCTTAAGAGGAAAGCTGGACTTTTCTTAGAAAAGTGGTCCAGATGCTAATCCTCATGAGAGGAGATGGTTAGAATCATGGAATCAACAAGCATCATGCGAACTGAACACGTGCCCCTGCTGGGTCCTGGAACCTCATCATGGCCTTCCAGTCAGTTGTGGAATCCTGAGTCTGCAGAAGGGCCCTGCGTGGTCTTGGAATCAGAAGGCCTGGGTGACTGGCCACTGACATCCTTTGGTTGCTTCCCCTGACTAGTGGCCATCCACTGCCTGTCTCACTAGGATGCTGAGTGGCTGGATGAGACCGAGGCACACATACATCCGCCATCAGGCCTGCCGTACAAAGCCAGTGCAGAGAGTGCGTGTGGGCACGGACACCTCAAACAGGCTGCAAGTGTGAACTTCTCTTTAAGGAATGAGGAGCCAGAGGCTCACCATGCAGGTCAGGAAGTTCCCCTGGCAATTCTGCAGCAAGGCCTTGAAAACTTTGTGGACCCACAGGACGCACACAGCCTTGGGACCAATAGGCTTGTCTGAGATCCAAACCAGCAAACATCTGGGCCTCAGTTTGTTCAGCTGTCAAATGGAGATGGGTAAGAAAAATCTACATCTGGTTATGAGGACTAATTAGGATAATGTAGGCAAAGCCCTGGCACTGAGAAAATGCTCCCTTGAAGGAGCTTAGACAATCATGTTTTTACAACTACCGTTTGAAGAAGGGGAGAGGAGAAGCAGAAAGAATGTTCTGGGACTTCTGCTTCCAGCCAAGATGAAGTAACGAGCCAGATTCACCTTACTGCCTCAAACAACCAGAGGAACCAGTCAAAGTACATGAAACAATGGTTTCAAGACGCTGGATATCAGGCATTGAGGGACACTGATGGGAAAGAAACAAGGTGAACCCTACAACTGACCCAGCTTCCTACCTGGACAAAGGGAGGGGAGCTGAGAAAGAGCCCAGTGGATTTCTTGAGGAAATAGAGCTGAAAGTCTGGAGAGACAAAGACAAGTAGAGTTCATAGGACAGGGTGCCAGGGAAGGGAAAGCTCCATAGAGAACCTTGGAGATCTGCTAAGTACTCATCAACGCCCAGCACAGAGGGCTCGGAATAGTACCTGTTTCTACCAACCAGACTAGAAATCCCGTAACTCAACAGGGCTTTGGGTAGAGTACTCAGAAAGTCTTGCTTCAGTACTGGGGAATACTTAGGCAGAGCACAGCTCCAGATCCATCTAACAAATCATAAAAGCAAGACCCGAAAGGATCAAACTGTTTCCAAGTAACTTCATTGCATTGCAAAAAAAATTGAAGAAGTTTTATACGAATACAAAAAGAGGCAACATCCAACAAAATAAAAAGAGACCCTGGGTGGTGCAAACGATTAATGAGCTCAGCTGCTAACCAAAAGATCACAGGTTTAAATCCACCCAGAGGCTCCTCAGAAGAAAGACGTTGTGATCTACTTCTGAAAAAGCCATTGAACACCCTGTGGAGCACAGTTCTGCTGTGAAACACAGAGGGTCACCATGAGTCAAAATCAACTCAAAGGCAACTGGGTTTTTGTTTTTTAACAAGGCAAAGTTTACAATGTCTAGCATCCAAACAGATTGCCAGGCATATGAAGACTCAGGAACACAACCCAAAATGAGGAGAATAATCAATGAAAACTAACACTGAACTGACACAAATGTTATAGAAGAGAAGGGCATTAAGCAGTTATAATTCCATTCTTATGTTCAAAAAGCTAGGTAGACACATGGAAGACATTTTTTTTAAGTCATGAATCAAACTCCTAGAGGTGAAAATTAGAACATGTGAATTGAAGTATATGTGGGATAAGATTAACAGCAGGTCAGACATTACAGAAGAAAAGATTAGTGAATAGTTAACTTGAAGGCATGGCAGTAGAAATGATCCAAAACCAACCAAACAAATCCAAAAAAGGAGAACATGGCACTATAGACAGAAGCACCATGCCATCCCTCTGCAGCAAAGACCCCAAAAAACTAAGTAAAACAGATACAAACGTCAGTCCTGAAACCCAAAGCATCAAATGAAGAAATAACTCGATCAAGCACCGAGTGGAATAAGAAACTGACAGAGAACAGAGAATGAGGAGGGCTACAGAGGGAAAGTCTCCTACCAGCTAAAGTGGCATGGATTTGCCATCTTGGACTACAGCCACCAAGGACTGTGGTCAGGGAGTATGGGAAAGCAACTTCAAGGAGCTCCCAACAGGAGACAGAGCACCCAGTAACCAGGGATACACGTTTTACCACTCCCCACCCTTCTTCCCTCTACGTGGCCTCTGCCGGTTTCCAACGGGCCACAGTCCCTTGGCCAGAGAGACACCAGCTCACTGCCACCCAGGTCCACCCCGCCCCCACTGGCCTGCCCCTTTCAGCACCGTTTTTTTGTTTGTTGTCGTTGTTTTGGCTTTTTTTGTTACTTCTCTCTCTCTCCCTTCCTTCTTTTCTTTTCTCCCGCCCAACTAGCCCCATGTGCTGTCCCCTCCCCTTTTTAATGGGCTGTGATTTTTTTATTTGTTTGCTTCATACTTTTTTTTTTGCCTTAAAACAACAGAAATTTATTCTTTCACAGTTCTGGAGGCCAGAAACCCGAAATCAAGGAGTCAGCAGGGCCTTCTTTTTCAGGAGGCTCTGTAGTTGTCGTTAGGTGCCATCAATTCAGTTCCAACGCCTAGCAACCCTATGAATGCAATGCTGCCCGGTCCTGTGCCATCCTCACAATCATTGCTATGTTCGCGCCCATTGTTGTAGCCACTGGGTGAATCTATCTCATTGAAGGTTTTCCTCTTTTTTGCTGACCGTCTACCTTACCAAGCGTGATGTCTTTCTCTGGGGATAGGTCCCTTCTGATAACACGTCCAAATTACGTGAGCCTGGAGGCTCTAGGGGATAATAATTCCTTGCTTCTTTCAGCTTCCAGTGGATTCCAGCATTCCTTATTTTCTTTTTTAAATTTTTTTTATTGTACTTTAAATGAAGGTTTACAGAACAAACTAGTTTCTCATTAAACAGTTAGTACACATATTGTTTTATGACATTGGTTAACAACCCCACGACATGTCAACACTCTCCCTTCTAGACCTTGGGTTCCTTATTATCAGCTTTCCTGTCCCCTCCTGCCTTCTAGTCCTTGTCCCTGGACTGTTGTGCCCCTTTGGTCTTGTTTTGTTTTATAGGCCTGTCTAATTTTTGGCTGAAGGGTGGACCTCGGGAGTGACTTCATTACTGAGCTAAAAGGGTATCTGGGGGCCCTACTCTCGGGGTTTCTCCAGTCTCTGTCAGGCCAGTAAGTCTGGTCTTTTTTTGTGAGTTAGAATTTTGTTCTACATTTTTCTCTAGCTCTGTTTGGGACCCTTTACTGTGACCCCTGTCAAAGCAATCAGTGGTGGTAGCCGGGCACCATTCGTTTTTTTTTTTTTTTTTTTTCCCTGTTTCTTCTCTCGCTTTCCTTTCCTTTCTCCTGTACACCTAGCCCTGTGCACCAACCTGCCCCTTCTCAAGAGGCCATGCTGCAACACTCTGCTGGAGAGTCACTGGCTGTGGCCTCCCTGGGTCTGTGCTGCCATCACCAATTGGCTCCCTCAGTGCCATTTTATCGTTATGTCCTACTGGTGTATTGACCCTTCAATCATTATATAGTGTCCTTCCTTGTCCTTTGTGGTAGACTTTGCTTTAAAGTCTATTTTGTCAGAGATTAATATTGCCACTCCTGCTCTTTTTTGAGTGTTGTTTGCTTGATATATTTTTTCCATTCTTTTAGTTTTAGTTTGTCTTTAACTCTGGAGTCTTTTGTAGGCAACATATAAATGGATCGTGTTTTTTTATCCATTCTGCCACTCTTTGTTTCTTTATTAGTGCATTTAGTCCATTTACATTCAGTGTAATTATTGATAGGTATGAGTTTAGTGATGTGATTTTGATGTATTTCTTTTTGTGTTGTTGACAGTTTCTTTGTTCCACTTAATTTTC